GTAATAGATACAATACAGAGTAGCTGAATTAGCTACATCTTGTAGTAGATACAATACAGAGTAGCCAAATTAGCTACATCTTGTAGGAGATACAATACAGAGTAGCTGAATTAGCTACATCCAGAATTTGAAACAATAAAGAGTAGCTGAATTAGCTACATCTTGTAGTAGAAACAATACAGAGTAGCTGAATTAGCTATATCTTGTAGTAGATACAATACAGAGTAGCCAAATTAGCTACATCTTGTAGGAGATACAATACAGAGTAATTGAATTAGCCACATCTTGTAATAGATACAATACAGAGTAGCTGAATTAGCTACATCTTGTAGTAGATACAATACAGAGTAGCCAAATTAGCTACATCTTGTAGGAGATACAATACAGAGTAGCTGAATTAGCTACATCCAGAATTTGAAACAATAAAGAGTAGCTGAATTAGCTACATCTTGTAGTAGATACAATACAGAGTAGCCAAATTAGCTACATCTTGTAGAAGATACAATACAGAGAAGCTGAATTAGCTACATCCAGAATTTGAAACAATAAAGAGTAGCTGAATTAGCTACATCTTGTAGAAGATACAATACAGAGTAACTGAATTAGCCACATCTTGTAGTAGATACAAAACAGAGTAGCTGAATTAGCTACATCTTGTAGTAGATACAATACAGAGTAGCTGAATTAGCTACATCTCGTAATAGATACAATACAGAGTAACTGAATTAGCCACATCTTGTAATAGATACAATACAGAGTAGCTGAATTAGCTACATCTTGTAATAGATACAATACAGAGTAGCTGAATTAGCTACATCTTGTAGTAGATTCAATGCAAAGTAGCTGAATTAGCTATTGAGACAATAAAATATAGCTGAATTAGCCACATTGAGTTACGGAGATAATAAAAGTAGCACATGTAACTATAAAGTTGACATTTTATCACTAATGTACCCAAATAAGTTTCAACCATCACAAATGAAACAAATGCCCACACATACAGACCCAGTAAGTACATCAGCTCCCCACTACTATTCAATAGGAATTCCTAAATTTAGTCTAAAAACTGTAAAAGTACTATGAAAAGGTAAAACATATGCTACAAAGTACCTTCAGCCATAAATATACAGGTAGTAGTTAAACGTTCTAAGTGAAAGAATTTCAGAAAGTTACCATTTCTAAAGTAGCAAGTGTAGCACCACATCATACACTGCTGTAGAGTTATAATATTTATGGGCATCACATGTGGATATGCAGATAGGTATCTATGGAGAATTGTCAACCAGCATCAATGAAAGTATATATTTAGAAGGTTTGTAAAATCTTGTTTTATTTATATCACAGAATAAATATACAACGTTTTATGTTTGTTTTCACCTCGCAATGTATTATGTATTCATACTTACTGTATTTGCAAACACAAGTAGCAAATAATAACTGCCCACTAAAGTACTCTTTACAGTCACCTTTCCCATTGCAGTTCAATATACACGGATGCATGTTAACTTGAAGACTCACTTGCTTGTCATCAGAACATTCATACAAATCCTG